GTTGATCTACTAAATATTATTAAAATAATTTTCCAATAAGATGTAATATATTTTTATTTTATTTGAATCACTAATTCATATTTGATATGTTGCAAATTCTTTAATTGTCACTCATTTTTTTCTTTTTTCTTAATTGATTTTCTAATTTTTTTCTCATTTATAGATTCGATTTTCTCATTATTATTATCTATAAGTTTAATTTTCTCATTATTATTATCTACAGATTTAATTTTCTTATTATTATTATCATTATCAAGAATAATAGGATTAATTTCATCATTTTCTTTATTAGGTATATACATTTTTTTTTATCTTTATTTTTAGTTAAGACAGATTCTAAATCAAGATTTTCAAAATTTTATATAATTTCTTTTTCAATATATATTCTATCTTCAAATTCAGATTCAGGTATAGAATCAATTACATTTGCTCTCAAAATATTATCATACTATCCATATTCATCATAAGGAAATAATAAAGGATATTGTAATAGATCATAAGCACTATTTAATTCAGAGATATTTTTTAAATGTCTTTCATGAGTTTAAATAACAATATCTTGATATTTAAGTTGAATGTTATAGTTATAGAGAAGAACTGCAATTTCTGATCCTGTTAGTTTATTATATTGTTTTATATTCTTACCATATGTATTATAAATAACTATTCTCTATTATAAATTATTAGATTCACTTTTGACTTTAGCTCCTGAGGTTACAAATTGCTCAACAAATAGATTGTTCTTTAATTATTCATTTTATAACGCTTTAAGCATTTTAGTATTCAAATTTAAAATATTTCTTATCTTCTTTGAAGTTGATTATTTATATTTGAACCATAAAAGTAAATTTGAGCAAATATTGGTTTTTGATTATCATCTCTTAGCATTAAATCTCCAATTTGATAATATAATTCATCTTGAATTCTAAATATATAAATCCTCTTTTTAGCATTTGCAAGTTCTTCGTCAAGTTTTACACCTAAAGATATGAATGTAAGAATCTGATTATAAGCTCTAATTTGAATTATATAAGATTTATCTGATTCTGAATTATTTTGTGTAAATAAATTATATAAAATTTGTGGAGTTAGAAGAAGAGGTGCTAATACAACCTATCTATTTAAACAAAAGAATCCTTTTGTTTTATTCTTCCACTTTAATATATAATAGTATTCACAAATGTTGTTCATTCTTTCAAATATATGTCTAATATATTCTACTCTATCTTCTATATAATTATTTACTGTATATTACAATATTCTATCTTAAAAAATTGGAATACTAATCTTTTTTTTTTTTGCAATATATCTATTTTGTTCATGAGATTTTTGATGATTTTTTATTTTTTTTCTTTGTTTCAACTGTTAATATTTTTAAAGTTTTTTGTTTTCTTAATTTTGTATTTTCAGTTATTCTAGATGATCCAGCTTTTATACTTTCTTCTCTTACTTATTAATCAAGAAATCTTTTTCTAGCTTGTTTAATATTATTTTGCCTTTATCTTTTTTCTTTTTCAGTTTTATTTTATATTCTGGATATTTAGCTTCAATTTCTTCTAATGTTGTAAATTTTGTCATCTTATTTGTAAATAAATTTATAAATTTTATAAAAATTTTATTTTTTTAATAAA